TGCGCAAAACTCCGCATTTGAACAGTCAATAGCAAATACTTAAACTAATAACAAAACAGTAGCTGATTCAGAAGCGCCAGATTGTCATAGCAAAGTCAGAATTACCTCCTCTCCTAAGAAAAAAAAGTTATCAATCTGTCAATCCTTTCCGTGTCCGGGCCGGGTGAGGTTTCCCGTGTTGAGTCAAATTAAGCCGCAGGCTCCACTCTTACCTGTTGTAAGTAATCTTAAAGATTCCTAAATGCATCTACTTTCGGAAGGCCAAATAAAGTGCTTTTGCTTTCGCCTAGAAACACACAGCGTCTCCCTGACATGGCTGCTTCAACACTAACTGCGGTTACTGAAACCACGCCTTCTTTCTTTGCGTGAACATTTGGGTGGCATTATGCTAATATTTCCACATAGTGAGGTATTTAGGGGGGCGTGGCAGAGTCTTAACTTTGATAAAGAATATCTCTTTGGTTTTGAGACTTTAGTCTTTGCAACTTCAGGGATCTTATCTATGCACAATCAGCTTGTAACACTCCAAAGAGAAAGGAAAACTTGAAATCACATCATATGACCCCTTTAACATTCCCATTCATCTCAATGGCAGTTGCTTCGCTGACGCATTTCTGTCATATTTGCATATAAGAAGTTTTTTATCTCAATCAGTGTTGTTATAAAAGTAAATCTATTGAAAATAATTGTTGCTTATTGAAACAAAGCTGAAATAAAATAAAATATAAATATTGAAGATATATTGAAAAACTTAAAACTTAAAAAAAAATTTTTAGAAGTGTAACCTTGGCAACTGTAATAAAATAATTTTAAAAAAAATGCTATGTAGAAATATTAAAAAATAAATAAATAAATAAAAATGACAAAACAACTTTCTAAAACTTAACATTTAAATAAAACCTGAAAAATAAAATTAAAAGCTAACTCAAAATATCAATAAATACTATAATAGTATATAAAAATAACACTGATCTCACACGATCAAGGCAGAATGATCATGCTGATATACTCAAAATGGCCAAGTGTCAGTCATTAGCAAAAGAAAACTAGATAAATCTAGTTATGTTTTTCCATTATTTGTTTTTGCAGCATTTTTCTGAAAGAGCTTGAAAACTATGAGCAGCTTCCAGAAGATGTGGGCCATTGTTTTGTCACATGGGTGAGATACAGATGAATCATTGTCTTTTTTCCTCAATTTTTCTTTGTTTGGAGAACATATTGTGATTTCAGTATGGACTACTCATCATCATATTACTATTTATGAATATTTAAAAACCAATGTGTGCTGAGAGGCTGCAAAAATGGGAAATTTGCCCACGCTGTATTTTAATCATAATTTAAAGCTTAAAAGGTCCAAAATATCAATTCAGCTGTGAAGTATTAATGTTTAAGCAGTAGCGTCTGGTACTTTGGTACTTTCAAACTCTGGTGATGATGCTTGCAACATAAATAGGAAAAGTGTTTATTTTTTCCATGTTCTGAAGGCTGATAAGTTCCATATGTACGTCACCTACTGCAAAAACAAACCTGACTCCAGTCAACTCATCCAGGGCCAGGCCGGAAGGTTCTTTGATGTGAGTTGATTTTCTTTTTTCTCTCAGTTCATTTTGGAGGTTTGTCTGGTGTGGGGGTGAGATGATAGGAATGACTCAAAGAGCCGACAGGGGGCGCCAAAAATCTGCTCTTATCCACCCTTACTGCTCTGTTCCAAATTAATAAATTCTGTTTATGTTATATTTGTCAACTTTTATGCAATAAAACTCATGGATATTTAATGCTGTTTCTCACAGGAGATACAACGGAGACATGGACTGGCCAATTCAATCTCATCGTACCTGATCAAACCCGTTCAGAGAATCACCAAATACCAGCTCTTGCTGAAGGTGGAGATGAAGTGTTTTTGTTCAGACTGTGAATCAGTTTGCAGCACTAAATGGTTGTGTTTGTGTCTCTGCGTGTTGGTGCAAATGTGTTCGTGAACAGGAGTTGCTGACGTGTTGTGAGGAAGGGAAAGGAGAAATAAAGGAGGGTTTGGAGGTGATGCTCAGTGTGCCTAAACGTGCTAATGACGCCATGCACGTCAGCATGCTGGAGGGTAAGCGATATTTACAGCAGCTGTACTGTGTGCAGAAGAGTTTTAAGTCGCAAATAGCTTTTCGAGCATTTTCTTATGACTGTCTTGAAAACAGATTCTATTTATTTGTTCACAGATGGTTTATTTGTTGTTGTTTTTAAAGTTCACATAATCCACAATTATTCAACACAAAATTACAGATTTTTAAAACAAATTGGAAGTTTAATGTTTTTTAAGCCTATATACTGTACAAAGAGAATGCATTTTTCAGATATTAAAATACAATTTGAAAATGAAATAAATTTTTTGTTTGTTTTTATTTAGTTTTATTTATTGTTCAATTAAATAATATTAACTGTATAATTATTATAAAAATATTACGACATTTTATTGATTATTAAATATGTTTTTATTATTTTTATTTTTTATTTTGATGAAGCTAGAATCGTAATTTCAGGTCAATGATGTGCTGTTGGTATTTTTGCATTTATGCATTTGTTTATCTGTGCAATTGTGGTTCTGGTATCAGGTTTTGATGAGAACCTGGCTGTACAGGGTGAGCTAATCCTACAGGACACCTTCCAGGTGTGGGACCCCAAATCTCTGATCCGCAAGGGCCGGGACCGACATCTCTTCCTTTTTGAGATCTCCCTCGTTTTCAGTAAAGAGATGAAAGACTCGTCAGGACGCACCAAATATGTTTACAAGAACAAGCTTCTGGTAAGGAGCTCCAGGATGATAAGTTGTCAAGAAGTGTAAACATCATCGGCAAAATGAGGTCTTTAGTGCCTTTTTCCCACTTTATTAGTAAGTTGTTAGTGGTAGTGTGAATTCAAATGTGTTTTGACAGACATCAGAGTTAGGAGTCACCGAACACATTGAAGGTGATCCGTGTAAGTTTGCTCTGTGGGCCGGCCGGACGCCTACATCTGACAACAAAACAGCTCTCAAGGTAAGATGTGTATATGTGTATGTCTATGTGTATCAGTGTCAGATAAACCCACAGATATGGCAGAGCAGAATCATAGCTAGTGCTAGTTAGACATTAAAGGGGTCCTATTATGCTCTTTTACAAAGTCTTGATTTTGTTTTGGGGGTGTACTAGAACAGGCTCTCATACTAGGTTGTTCGATTTTACCTTCGTGAGGTATAACGGTACATTTTTTTTTACATACAGTAGGCTATAACACTGTGTCCTAACCAAACATGACACCTAGAACACAATATTATGAATATAGTATACGCCTGATGTATCAAATACGATATTCAACAAAAAAACATGGATGCAATTTTTTTTTTTTTAGATTTTATCTAAAGTTTCAATAAACTGTTCCATTTCAGTATTTACTATTATTTCATATGTCAGGGTTAAACCATTTATTTTTTAACACTGCTACCACATTTCATAAAATAATAATATAAAAATAACTGATTCATTTTGTTCTTCGTGATTTGTACAGAGGCCTATTATTTTGTTTTCAGTTCTGAAATAAAATTATAACAGTTAAAATTAATGACAATTGCAGCCCTGTTTTGAATATATCAAATGTTCTAGAAATTACATATTAAAACCCGAAAGATTCTCTACAATGGAATTTTTTTTTGCCCCCACATTTTAAATATTTGGGGCATGTTTCTCATATTTAGTGGAAATTTTGGCCTTGGTTAATTTCTGACCCTGGTGCATATGCTTTGTGCCATTATACTCATTTGAGTAATGCAAGTTCAAATCTGGCTTGTGAAATCATGCTTTGTCATCTTTTTTCATTTATACACATCCTCTCATCTACCCAAAGGCCTCCAGTATAGAAATGAAACAGGAGTGGATCCGGAACATCAGGGAAGTGATTCAGGAGAGAACAATCCACCTAAAGGGGGCGCTAAAGGAGCCCATACACCCTCCCAAAACCCCAGCCAGACAGCGTAGCATAAGCAAGAGGTATTTCACCTCATCCACCTAAAACATAGATTTTTCTTTTTTTTTCTCTGCTCAGTTTCTTCTCAAATCTGCATTGAGAGAATCCATACATCAGCACTCACAAAGTGCACAGCTCTTATCACAGCACTTGCTGCCAAGGTTTTTATTATAGATTGTGTATGTGTATTGCAGTGGAAATTAAGTTTATAATATTTATTTAATCTTTCAGGGAAACTACAGAGGACGCGGACAGTCAGGGTGATGCCAGCAGTCAGCCGGACACAATTTCCATCGCTTCCCGCACCTCCCAGAACACTGTAGACAGTGACAAGGTACAACTACACTACAAAAATCACAACAATAACACCATGACATCCACTATGTAGTCCCTGACACTGTATTGCCATTTGGCTTGGTCAGCATCGTGTAGTGACAATTGAGGTGAGTGGCTAGACATGCAGGTTTGACTGTGAAGATTTGTACAAATTTTAAACATAGAGAAACTCCACAAGCTTAAGGTTAAGTGCATTGGTATCAAAATTAAGTTCAAGAAGAGAGCTGATATTAATGTAACTGTACAACATGCTTTTTCTGGTTTGTTTTATGTGTTGGTTGATTGCTTGTTTGTCTTTGTGTAAGCAGGTTTGACTGTGTGAGGATTTTTAAAATTACTCCTCAAACATTTCTGTCAAATGGGAGATACTCCCCCTATGGAAAATTTGATTGTCTCATACACACATACGTCTGTTTAGACACCACCAGTTCCTCTGTGGTATGTGTGTGTGTGTGTGCGTGCGTGTGTGTGTGTGTGTGTGTGTGTGTGTGTGTATTTGACTCTAGAGTTTGTACATGGGTATCATGGTATGTTTTTATGTTTGTTTTGAAAGAAGACTTTTATGCTCACCAAGGCTGCATTTATATGATCAAAAATATCTCTATTTAAAAAAAAATTATAATAATATGCAATCTATTCCTGTGATGACAAAGCTGAATATTTAGCATCATTACTCCAGTCTTCAGTGTCACATGATCCTTCAGAAATCATTCTAATATGCTGATTTGGTGAAGAAACATTATTTATTATCAGTGTTGAAAACAGATGTGCTGTTTAACATTTTGTGGAAACCATGAAACATTTTTTCAGGATTATTTGTTGAATAGAAAGTTCAAAAGTACTGCATTTTCTATTTGAAATAGAAACAATATACATGTTTCACCAACTTTCTTGTTGCCTTGTTTTTGCTATATAACTTTCCTCCCTGTCCCACTAACTAAATTTGGCTCTGATTCACTGTTATTCCCATCCAGTATGTCAATGCGGCAAAAACTGTATTATTGCTCCTAATCTCTCCGTCTGTCATTTTTCTGTAATTTTATTATTACTTGCGCCTGCTCTTAACCTCAGGCCAGTCTCTCTGCTCTTGTTTCATTCAACCGTCTAATTACAGATTAAAAAGCTCTGAGTCAAGAGCAGCGCATGTTTCCTAGAAACACTTTTTCTAACACACTCTCTTGCCAGATCAGTTGTATTGCGGTGTTCATGTGGTTTAAGTCAGGACACGGACTTGTCTCCGTCGCAGATGGCACACCTACTGACCTTTCACTGACTGTCTGACACTTAATGTTACACACAAAATGGCAAGTGTTGGTGGAAACTGCTAGCTCCAAATCTGATTGGCTACTTAGGGATGGGTTTATTTGCAATAGATTTATAGTAACATGAATGGCATCAACCTTTTAAAAGATAATCAAAAGTTTGTATAAACATGACATTTTTGAGCAGTCCTGCATGTACACCTTACTTAGACATCAGCAATTATAATAAGAAATGAGAAGCAAGTCTGACAGCTGTGATTGGCGACTTTATATGTCAGTCCTCCTGTTTAAGTGAGCCATTTTTTGCCAGAATTAGCTTCATTGTGAACCAGACTTTATGCTAGTCAAAAGAATTTTACATTTACAGTTTATTTAGCCTAAATCACCTAACAAAGCAACTAATGCAAATCAAGCCATTATTAGTCACATAATTACACACATATAATTTTCATGTCTTTTTTTCTCTCTCTCTTTTTTCTGTTAGCGGTCTGTCTCTTTGCAGTTATTGTACTGCTAGGGCCTTCTTATGTCATTGTGGTTTGAGGTTTGTGAGTTTGTGTTTATGTATGGCTGTGTCAGTGGGTATTCAAATATAAAACTATATATAGGCTTCTCATATTCCCTATTTTTACAGACTAGACATTTCTTAACTTGTTTGTGTCTCTGGGTAGTGCGGTTTGCTCACTGCTGTCAGCATTTGTCCCAGAAGTTAGCTGTTTGAGCATAAACAATATCTGCAAAGTTATGAAGCTGAAAGTTCAATGCAAACGGAGATATGGTCTTTTAAAATTCTGGCAGTTTAATGCCTACAAAAACGGCTGGTAGGGACTACAACGAGTTACTTCCCGGGTTCGTGACATCACAAACCCAGATAAATTAATTCATTCACTCATTCATTCATTCATTCATTCAAAACTAGAGTTGCACGTAAAAATCTATTCATATATGAATCGCGATTCTGTCTTCTAACGATTCTAATGGATTCACAAGTTTCAAAATCAATGTACTAAAGCAGCGGTTCTTAATACTGTTCCTCGCGTCCCCCTGCTCTGCACACGCTCTGCATCTCTCTCTCTCTCTCTCTCTCTCTCTCTCTTTCTCTTTCTCTCATTCAGCTCAGCTCCAACAATGAACTGTT